ACTTGAAACAGAAGGCTGAGAAGCCAGAGGGAGAGAAAATACACATAATAAGTAGTTTGTTGATTCTTTTCCCTATAAACTAACCCACATGTCACTGCCTGCTATGGGGTTTGTCTAGTGCCTGCACTTTCACGTTTCCACCCGCGGAGTTCCAGGCCACTGATTCTCAGGATTCATGCTTGTCAGTATTCATGCTTGTCATGCATGCAGCATGTTCATTTCCTGGCAACCCTTCTAAGAGATGGAATATTGTAGCCTCATTCTAATCACAAGTTTCCTCGGGAAAATTCCTTGGATGCTGTGCAAACCACTCAAATTCAATCCTTCAACAGAGACCACTGAAATGTATGACATCTGCAATTATGATTTGTATTTGTGGTCCTTGTGATTTGTATGAATATCAAGCATCCAACATGTCAGAAAGAGTTTGCTGTGTAAACAATGGCACAAATGAGATGTAGGCTTGGGCTGTGTACAGAGCTGTACAGAGCTTTGCACATGCCACTCTGCGTAGCAGAGAAGAATAGGGTGACACAGTCTGTATTTTTCTCAGTTCAACTAAGCAGACATTACTAGGCACAGTGTGCTCAAGATACGGAGGGATTATAAGAATAACTTGTTTCTGAGGAGCACAGGAGATAAACTAAAAAAGAAAGGTCTATTATAATAGAGCAGTAGATACATAAATAGCTGCTGTGATGGTATAACCTGTGCATATACATTATTAGAAAATGAGGAATTTATTATGTGGAAATAATCTGAGAAGATTTCATTACAGGGTTAATTGCTAAGCAGACTACTGTAGGAACTATGCAATTTTTGAAGTAAAGAGAGAATGTCTTTTGAACTGTGGATGAAGAGTAAAAGCAGAAGGGTAGAAAGTAGCCAGGCATGGTGGCTTGCACCTGCAGTCCCAGCTACTTGGGAACTAAGACGGATCTTGAGCCCAGGAGTTTGATGCTGCAGTGAGTTATGATTGCACCTGTGCACCCCAGCCTGGAGACAGAGTCTCCAGTGCAGTCCAGTGCAGTGGTGTGCTCTCGGCTCACTGTAACCTCTGCCTCCCGGGTTCAAGTGATTGTCGTGTGTCAGGCTCCTGAGTAGCTGGGACTACAGGTGCACACCACCATGCCTGGCTAATTTTTGTATTTTTAGTAGAGACGGGGTTTCACCATGTTGGTCAGGCTGGTCTGGAACTCCTGACCTCAGGTGATCTGCCTCCCAAAGTGCTGCGATTACAGGCATGAGCCACTGTGCCTGGCTGAGATCCTGTCACTTAGAGAGAGAGAGAAAAAAAAGAAGAATGGAAAGTAGAAAGCCCTGGCAATGTAGTTTGAAATTTAAAACTCATCTATTCTACAAGTCTCCTCTAGTTAAAGGAGGTCATGTGACTTAATTCTGGCCAAAAAGTTAGCAGAATCCTGCTAGGTGTCAGAGTGAGACAACTTTGCTATCCCCAGGTAGAGCAGGTGTGGCTGGCCGTGACCTTCTTCGGCTTATTCCTGCCTCAAAGGGCATGGTGATGGGGTCTGAAGCTGCAGCGGCTCTTCAACGTGAGGGGAAGGCCAGAGAATCCTCCAATGCTGCTCCCAACATCTGGGTCCTCTTTTTGAATATGAGAAAAAGAACCCTTCTTACTTATAAGACAGTTTTTTTTTTTTTTTTTTTTAATTTTTGGAAGCCAAGAAAATTCCTGAATGATATCCTTAGGTGAGTTTTTGGCCAGGAATAAGCTGCTTATATTACAGCTGTATTTGGTAAAAACAAATTTTAAAATAAAAAGTGCCCGTGATCATAGAATTACTTCATGAGAAAGCCATGCTTTATATCTCTCAAGTGTATTCCCTTGAAGAATCACAATAAAATAATTATATATCTCCATTTCATAATTTGTGGCTAAAAGTAGATTTCCTGATCTTTCAGCCACATTTTGTCCATTAAGCTTCGCTGTCTCGGACAAGCACATCTAAAACCCTCTGCATGGCTATGAATTTAATGTCAGCTAGGATTTCAAGAGACAGGTACATTTACAGCATCATTTATGTTCCTTTAGTTTCTCTTCCAACCCCGTGAAGTAACCTGTTTCTGCTGGCTTTTTTTTTTTTTTTTTCATATTTAGAAGATTATTTTATCCACTCCAAAATCTAAACTTTTTGCAGTGTCTTCTCAAATTTTATTAAATAAAGGTGGTTTACAAATTCATACTCCCTAAGCCCTTCAAGAATTGCTTTCCACCAATTCCAGTAACTATCAGCACTGGGTAGGGAGAAGGAGAGCATATCTTGAAGGCTGGCAACTTTTGTCAGAGCATACATAGACTATGAAAACCACAAGGAGGCCAGATGCTCACGCCTGTAATCCCAGCACTTTGGGAGGCCAAGGCAGGCAGATCACTTGAGGTCAGGACTTCGAGACCAGCCTGGCCAACATTGTGAAACCCTGTATTTTTAGTCTCTATAAAAATACAAAAATTAGCCGGGCATGGTGGCAGGTGCCTGTAATTCCAGCTACTTGGGACACTGAGGTGGGAGGATTGCTTGAGCCCAGGAGGTGGAGGTTGCAGTGAGCTGAGATCAAGTCACTGCACTCCAGCCTGGGCAACACAACGAGACTCCATCTTAAAAAAAAAAAAAAAAAAAAAAAAGGCCCGGCATGGTGGCTCACGCCTGTAATCCCTGCACTTCGGGAGGCCGAGGCAGGTGGATCATGAGGTTAGCCTTCCTGGCTAACAGGGTGAAATCCCGCCTCTAATAAAAACACAAAAAATTAGCCAGGTGTGGTCGCAGGCGCCTGTAGTCTCAGCTACTTGGGAGACTGAGGCAGGAGAATGGCATGAACCCGGGAGGTAGAGCTTGCAGTGAGCCAAGATCATGCCACTGCACTCCAGCCTGGGCTACAAAACGAGATTCTGTCCCCCCCTCCCCCCCAAAAAAAAAGAAAAAAAAGAAAAAGAAAACCACGGGGAACCATTTGGGCTAATGGATCCCATTACTTGTTGGTTTTCAAAAGCTTTGGGGCGCTTTTTATTTTTTTATTTTTATTTTTTTTTTGAGACAGAGTCTCGCTCTGTCGCCCAGGCTGGAGTGCAGTGGCCGGATCTCAGCTCACTGCAAGCTCCGCCTCCTGGGTTTACGCCATTCTCCTGCCTCAGCCTCCCGAGTAGCTGGGACTACAGGCGCTCGCCATCTCGCCCGGCTAGTTTTTTTTTTTTTTTTGTATTTTTTAGTAGAGACGGGGTTTCACCGTGTTAGCCAGGATGGTCTCGATCTCCTGACTTCGTGATCCGCCCGTCTCGGCCTCCCAAAGTGCTGGGATTACAGGCTTGAGCCACTGCGCCCGGCCTGGGGGCACTTTTTAAAAATAAAAAGTCTGAGATTCATCTCCAGACATTCTGACCCAATGTATGAGGAGTAAAGGCCAGAAATACGTATTTTTATTTTATTTATTCATTTATTTAAGACAGGATCTTGCTGTCACACAGTCTGGAGTGCAGTGGTGCAATCATGGTTCACTGAAGCCTCTACTTCCCAGGCTCAGGTGATCCTCCCATCTGAGCCTCCTGATTAGCCGGGACCACAGGTGCACACCACCATGCCCAGCTAACTTTTTTATTTTTTATAGAGCTGGAGTCTCACTATATTGCACAGGCTGGTCTTCAACTCCTATTCAGGATGCTGAGGCAGGAGAACTGCTTGAACCTGGGAGGTGAAGGTTGCAGTGGGCTCAAGTGTTCCTCCTGCCTCAGCCTCCCAAAGTTCTGAGATTATAAGCATGATCCACCATGCCCAGCAAAATACATATTTTTTAATCTTTCCAAATACTCATCCAGATTTGAGGACCACTTACCTAATCCAGTGCTTCCCTGAATGTGCACAGAGCACAGCTAGGGATTTTGTTAAAATGCAGATTCTGTTTCAGTAGACCTCAGGCTGGCCTAACAAGCTCTCAGGTGATGCCCATTCTGACAGTTTATGAAGCACACTTAGAACAAGGAGAATCTAAGCTGCACCCCACCTCTATACTTTTGTGCTATAGAGAAGGAAACTGAGACTGGGAGAAGTTAAATGAGTGGTCCAGATCATACAGGCATGCAGTGGCAGCATGAGGATCAGAAACCAGGTCTTTTAATTCCCAGTCCAGACTCCTCTGCACTATTACACTGACTCCAGCAAAGAGGAGCCTGTGAGACCTGTTGGTGTTGATGAGGACTGAAGAACATGAAGCTGCTTTGGTTCACTCTTTTGTTTTATTATGGGCCCTTTGAATAGCTCATGATCTCATTTTCCACCCCTCTTCAACTTCTCTCTCCACCTCATACCTAACCAGTGGTGTGCTGGTAAATGCTTAACTACTGACTTTCTGGAGGAAAAAGAAAAAAGATCTGATTTGTAACGTTTGCTGACCTCCACGGTGTAAATACTCCTACTATGGTTAACATGAAGCTGGAAAAAGATGCACACAAACAGCTCTCATGAAGTAGTGGAGGCCAGCTCCTGCACACCATTGCATCGACGTGTGCATTGCATTGCACACATTGCATCCTCTGACCCAGAGCTGAAGCCACAGGTCAGGACAATAGCTGAGTCCCAGCCTGACTGCAACGAGTTGGTACTTGGCTAGAAGAAATAACACTATTGCTTTTTAACCAAGCCAACCTCTAGTGTAACTGGTAAGATATATTGATTGTGTGTGTCTTAGGAATGCTAATACAAAGAAGAGAGGAAAGATAATGGAAAAAGCATCTGCTCATAAAGTAACTGAAACCTTTAGAGGCCAAAAACAAGCAAACAAAAATCAACAGATAAATCCCAAAGTGGACAAGTGTATAGAGAGATGCTTTTACTTAGTCAAAATACAATCAAAGAACACTGGATCAATTTGGAATTCAAGTTGACAGTATTGGCTGGTTGCTTCCTGTGTTCAGAACGTTTAGCGAGGTTCTTGCACCACAGGTTTTCTTTCCATGGGGTCTTATTGCAATTTTCTTTTTCTTTTCCTAGGAGGAACTACTTCTGCCAGGAGATTCACTGGGGAAGATAAGACAAACAGTCGCCTATGCCAGTGCAGAAGTGACTGCATTCCATTTGCCACTGTCCCCCAGGTATTAGGTTGGTGCAAAAGCGACTGTGGTTAATGGGGAAAATTGCAATTACTTTTACACCAACCTAATAATTTATATTTTTTAAAGTAAAGTTTCGCTATCAAAAGAGATTCATTGTAGTAAGCAAATTATACACTTCTAGAGAGAGACTACACAGTCATTCACAGCAGATGACACCGTACTGAACAATAACTAAAGTCTATATAACAGAAAGTTTACATTGTTTAGACAAGTCACACAAAGAAGTGCAAACAACACTATTGCTGTTATTTGTTAAAAATGGTTATACATTGCATAGAAGTGTTATTTCCCCCATGTAATTACTGAACAATGAAAGTAAAGTGCCAGAAAAATAAGAACAATAAATATGGACTTTCAACATGGAGGAAATTCAGATACCATAAATATTTCTATCAAAAATGGCATTGTTATACAAAAATTAGCCAAGTGTGGTGGCATACACTTGTAGTTCCAGCTACCTGGGGGACTGAAGTGGGAGGATCGCCTGAGCCTAGGAGGTCAAGGCTGCAGTGAGCCTGGGTCTGGGTTACAAACTGAGATCCTGTCTCAAAAACAAACAAACAAAAAATGGCCTTGTGTTTCCCTTCGATTTCTATTCTCACCTGGTCTCTCTCCCTAATAAAAATTCATTTTACCAATGAAAAACATTCTCCTCACCCACCACCTAAATGTTTTTACCACTCACTAACCCTCTCGGGGAAAGAGAAGTGTTGTTCTCTCCCATTATCTAATTTAGTAAATAGTGCACAGGATCAGAAACCCGGCTGCTGCAATAAGGTGGATTGTTTTTTCTCTTGTTATCAATCCCTGTTTTCACTGTGACAAGCCAAAAAGGTAATGAAAATCCAAAGATAAATTTTGTTTGAACTACATTTAGCAAAACTAACAGATTTAGAAGCAGATAACCATTATGAAGTAATCTTATAAGACACATAAGCAAAACCAAATATGAGGGTCTAGGTGGTGGCTCATGCCTGTAATCCCAGCACTTTGGGAGGCCATGGCAGGCGGGTCACTTGAGGACAGGAGTTCAAAACCAGCCTGGCCAACGTGGTGAAATCCGGTCTCTACTAAAAATACAAAAGTTAGCTGGAAGTGGTGGCACACACCTGTAATCCCAGCTACTCATGAGGCTGAGGCAGGAGAATCGCTTGAACCTGGGAGGCGGAGGTTGCAGTGACCCAAAATCATGCCACTGTACTCCAGCCTGGGCAACAGAGCAAGACTCGGTCTCAAAACAAAAAAACAAAAACGAAACAAACAAACAATATGAATAAGTTCAAATATCTTCATATAGGGATATCAAGATACTAAATTGAAAATTCCTTAAAGATTTGTCTTTAACTTAGCTGGTAAGTCCTAGACCAGTGGTCCCCAACCTTTTTGGCACCAGGGACCAGTTTCGTGGAAGGCAATTTTTCCAGATGGGACTGGGGGTTGGAATGTGGGGGATGATTTCAGGATAAAACTGTTCCACCTCAGATCATGAGGCATTAGTTAGATTCTTGTGAGGAATGCACAACCTAGATCCTTCATGTGCACAGTTCACAATAAGGTTTGCGCTCCTATGAGAAGCTAATGCTGCCACTGATCTGATAGGAGGCAGAGCTCAGGCTGTAATGCTCGCCCACTGCTCACCTCCTGCTGTGTGGCTTGGTTCCTAACAGGCCACAGACTGGTACCAGTTAGCAGCCCAGGAGTTGAGGACCCCTGTCCTAGATGTTTGATATGTTACCCACAGAATGCTAGTGTAATTTGAGAGTCTATTTTAAGCAATATTTCTTGGCCATTATATGCAAAATCCTGAGCAAGGCATTACAACTACATGTAATTCAGGAAATATAAAATAACCCTTTTTTTTTTTTTGAGACAGAGTCCAACTCTGTCCCCGAGCCCAGAGTGCAGTGGCACGATCTCAGCTCACTCCAGCCTCCACCTCCCAGGTTCAAGCGATTCTCCTGCCTCAGGCTCTCAAGTAGCTGGGTTTACGTGCCTGGCTAATTTTTTGTGTTTTTAGTAGAGACGGGGTTTTGCCATGTAGGCCAGGTTGGTCTCGAACTCCTGGCCTCAAGTGAGCCACCTGTCTCAGCTTCAACCTATTCTGTTTGAACACCAGAAATATGCTAAGGATTCATTTTGAGCCATAATCTAACTCTGAATCTAAGGTAAGATGACCCAGTTGGCTTAGAATATAGCTCTAATAAAGTATTGTTCATTTATGCATCCCTGACAGTAAAAAAAGTTTGTGAATATCTTGATCACTAGAGAGAGAAATGAGAATGTGAGTGTACAAAATCCAACCTCATAATGAGAACACAGCCCTGAGCACAGGTCCTGAACAAAGGGCAGAACATCTTTTTGTCATCCTCACACTTTCTCTAAACCCCAATTTAGAATAGGTTTGTTACGAAGATCAAAATAGATGAATTGTATGGAGAATCTGTAAACCCAAAACACCATAAAGGTGTAAAGTGGTATAATTGTTATTACTGTATGTTTTTACACACCAAAAACCACAGAGTCGGCCTTTTCACAGCTCACAGCGTGAAAAGGTGTGTTTCTCCTTCCAGACCACATTAAAATTGGTCAATATATGACTTTTTAGTCTTCTTATGGTTAATCCAAGTGAATTTTAATTTTCCTCCATGGTTAGGGTTATATTTTCCCCTTTATTTCTAGAATCTTTTTGCCTTTCCTTTCTTCTTTTTCTCTGCCTCTGTATATGTCTGTCTTTTCGTTTTTTAAACAAACACCCTCCTTTCCACAGAAAGCCTAAGGGCCATTATTATTGTTGTTCAAGGGGAAAAGTGGCTCCCAAATGCCAGGCTCAATTCTCTGGCTTTCTTCCTCTTCCAATCTTTGTCCCGAGATGCCTCACTGCATTGTTACTCTTCCAAAGTAAAATCAATCAGTTCTTTAAAAATCTTCTGAATGCCCATAATTTGATGTACTTAGTTTACTATCAGTCACTACATGATACACTTTTAATTTGGCAAATTTAATGTGACAAATTAATTTCACAAATTTAATGTGATGTTCAAAGCACCTTGAGCTATGCAATTCAAAATAATAATTTGGACAGGCCTTAGTTTACTTTTCCCCATTTTTCTCTAATAGTGTTCAACAATTTCATATCTGCCAAATCTGAGAAAATTCTTCATAAAATTTCAGAGCTTTTGAGCCTCTTTGAAGTGGCAATATCCACAGGAGACCTGCTGTGCTCAGTTAACTTGCTAACTTGACCCTATATCCCTGCGTATCCAAACCTCTCTATCCTTTTCTCCCGGGCAAATCCCACCTCAGCCCCCAATGCTGAGTAGCTCCGACTACAAGCACAAGCCACCATGCCCAACTGATTTTTGTTTTTTTGCAGAGACTGAGTTTTGCCATGTTGCTCAAGCTGGTCTCAAAATCCTGGTCTCAAGTGATCCAGCCTCAGCCTCCCAAAGTGCCGAGATTAGAACTATCAGCCATTGCACTTGACCTGTTGGCCAACTCTTAATAGCAATTCTTCTATGCTATGGTGAAATAATTAGAAAAGACTACATCCCTAAATATTTTGGGATGCATTAATCACTGTCTTTAACTAATTAATTAATTGAATGCAAAGAGTCCATTCTAAAATATACGGGAATTTTATCCTTCAACACAGACTTTCTACAGTAGGATTCAAAGACATTTTTGAAATCTTACATTACAAATTAGAAAGTAGAAACACATTTCTAATCTGATATTAAAACAATTACAGAGGAAATAATTGAAAATGTCTTACCAGACGACTGTCAGAATTGGCAGTACTAGGCAGTCCTCCTGATTTTCATTCCAGAATAAAGGTAAGAAGGTAGATATTTTTAAAAGAACTAAATAGTAAGTTAATCAGCTGTAGTATTCTCATTTTTTTCCAGAAGTTTTTTCTCATTATCTCGTTTACTTTGGGGACCAATAACTTGTCCTCTTTTTGCAAACACGAGCAGAAACAATGAGTACTTTTTCATTTTGCCTCTAATGCTAAACAGTAGCTCCTTGAGGCCAAAACTACAGATCCATTCTCTCTCTAATCCCCAGTTCCTACCACAGTGACTGGTAATAACTTTCAGTAATTACGTGCACGATGCATATTTCCTTGTTAACTAAATATTTTACTTATTTCGATTGTAACCTATAACTTTTATAGAATCCTTGCAAGGTGACCAGAAAGCTCTTTTCTGAGGAGTGTGATTCTTGTTTGTGATATTTTTTTACTCATGTCTTTTCCTAGTGATGATATTGTCTCTCCAACACTCTCTCTCCTCCCCTCAACCCCTCCTTCTCCATCCCTGTTTTTGAAATCTGTTTATCCTAATTATAAGCTACTTAATATAGAAAGAAAATAATTTTAACAAAGGGAAAAGTTTCTTAAATGCATTACAACAATGGCAGGATTCTTCGTAGAGCTAGCAAGCACCACTTACAGTTCTTAGGAAGAAAACCGAAGCCAAAGGACATCATCTAACATGGAGAAAGACCCATAGGGGAGAATACTCCCAAAATTCATATCATCAACAGCAGTACGAAATGTAAAGTGATGCTAAGAGTCTGACATATACCAGCATGTAAGGGCCAGTCACACTCGTTGGGTGTCAGAGGTTACTTCTTCATTCATAACTGAAAAGTGGAAGATGATTCATATGTCTTTGCTACTGATGTAAACAAAACACGGTGGGTGGACAGCACCCCCCGAGGGAGATGGAGATGTGGGTGATTGGGTCAATAAGGAAGTCACTCTGCCAGCCTCCTCCTTCTTCCCAAATGTGCACAAACTGCACCTTGTAAGGTGTCCAAGGACAATGACTTATTCCATAGCAGGTGCAAACACTCAAGATTTCAGTGAGTATCAACCTCAAAAAGCTTAGGTGCTGAATCTAAATTCCACAGTCTGTCGACCTGACACTGTCCTTTCTTCAGGTGTTTATATGGCCCTGGAAAAAGAACGAGTTCCATTACATAAAAGGAATTACAAAAATAATGCACCCAAACTCCAGAGAGTACTTACAGTCTGGCATCATTTTGCAATAGTTTCAGTTTCAGATCTGCATAGAATGTTGACCAGGGATAAGGATTAACAAATCTTAAATGTAAGCATTTTGGGTCTTTTATTTCCTTAATTTCATTGAAAATAGCTGTGTCATTGACCCTTTTTAGGTATATCATTATATGTATGCTCAGAGTTGACTTCCAAGAGAGTAAAATATGGCAAAGGATCATTTTAATCCAGTCGTTATCTTTTATTTATACCCAAATTTTGTAGATCTTATATGACAATTGATTTCTGCTTTATCTGGTTGTATGATGAGGATGAGTTATTTTTTAAAAACACAACTGTTACTTACAACTTAAACACAATTTGGACTTCATAAGAATTGTCCTTCTTTCAGGCTCATATTTATGCTAACAATGTTCACAACTATAATAGAGGAAAAAAAGATTTTAAGGACAAGAATGTTTCTTGAGAATAAGTGAACACCGCTTGTGACCTGGTATTTTTTGGAAGAAAGGAAGGTGGTGTGAAATGCCCCTCTCATTCCGAGGTTCTCTGGAAAGGGCTGTCATTCACAGTTGCCTGGGCAAGCCTGAGCAGGACACATGTTTGGTGACTCAAAACATGCAGGTAAGAGTAACTAGGGTGGAACGATGCATGGCCACCATTTCAATTATGTTGGGCTATCAAAACTTTCTTAGGCAAAAGATTAAACATGTTTTTCACCAATTGTAATGGTGCTTATTTTGTTTTTTTAAAATGAGCTATTGTTGGTGTCTGTTTCTCAGAAACATAACTTACTGTAAGAATCCACACACAGGCTTAGTCACACAGCCCACCCTCCTTTGTGCATTTCAGATGAACAAGAGGCCTGTCTACAGAGCATTTGCCACTGAGTCATTGCACTCCGCACACAGTGAGCAATGAGCAGTAAGTGACCAGGAAGATGACAGAATCCCATCATTGTTTTGGTATTTAGAAACTAGTAAACAGTGAAATCTTGTTTTAGTTACAAATAAAAACAAAATATTCCATTCCTTTCTCTTCTTGAGGGTGTGCACAGGTGGAAGTGAATGTACTCTTGTATAAGGACACATATCCCTCGTTATTCAAATAGGTATGAGGAGACTCCAGAGGGCTGTGTTCTTAAGATCTATATAGGAATAAGTAGTAGTTGCCAGACAGGGTTATTACCAAGGAAACCGAAGGCTGAAATGCATACAAATCTGCACACTGATGACTTTGTTTGACTTTTGGTTTTCTCATTTTAATTACAGGATGCTCTGTAGCCTTACTATCCCTTAGCCTTTCCTCTACAAATATAATACTCATAGTAATTCATTAGTTTTCTATGACATTGAAATGAAAATTATAGGTATAAAAATTAGGTTCACAAAAATCTTCGGGAATTCTTCTGCTGAGGATTTGTCTACTCTCTCCTATTTGTTCAGTTATTTAATCATTTATTTTCATCAGTATGGGCATGTGGATATTTATCTTAGACTTTGAGTTATGATCCAACAGCACACTATTGATTGATTGATTAATTGATTTGCTTAAATTGCTTCAGTTTTGGCCATTGGGAACTTTTTCAGTCATGTGTCTTTTTGACATATTCCTATCACCATGGGGTTTTTTTTTTAAATTTTTTTATTTTCTGCTATCATTTGAGTGCCTCCTTGCCTTCTGGAACTATAAGATGCTGCAGTCTCATCTCAGGTATTGCCTTCTCAGTCCTAAAATCAGCCATGTCTCTAAGTAACCATTGGAGAATGGTATTAGAAATCAAGATCGGGGCTGGGAGTAGTGGCTCATGCCTGTAATCCCAACACTTTGGGAGGCCGAGGCAGGTGGATCACCTGAGGTCAGGAGTTCGAGACCAGCCTGGCCAACACGGTGGAACTCTGTCTCTAAAGAAATATAAAAAATTAGCCGGGCTTGGTGGTGGGCACCTGTAATCCCAGTTACTTGGGAGACTGAGGCAGGGAATCACTTGAACGCAGGAGGCGGAGGTTGCAGTGAGCTAAGATGGCACCCTTGCACTCCAACCTGGGCGACAGAGTGAAACTCCATCTCAAAAAAAAAAAAAGAAAGAAATCAAGATCTTCTTGCTACTGGAATGTTGACAGAACAGGGAAATATATATGTGTGTTCTAATAAGTATATGTACACATATCTATAAGTATTTATATATGTAGTTATTCGTATCTATATTAAGCTAAACGTGAGTGCATACAGATGTCTCAACTCTAATCCTATACCACATGGATCTTTCTAGCCTCTTTCCTGTCTTTGTATATCAGCTTCCACTCCAACAGTGAGAAACCTAGCTCGCACCATTCACCATCCATTCATTTATTTGCTCAATACCAGTACACATGAATAATGTCCTCAAAATCCAACTGTACTCCTGAGATGCAACTTTATTGATGAGACTACAGTGCTTACATACAGTTCATTTTGCCTTTAGTCTTGTAGTCCCCATTCATTTCAAAAGTTGTTTAGGTAAGCAACTTTCCTCCCACCGCCTTCAGGGAAATTATTTTATACATCTGTAATATACATAGATTATTTCGTCATAGCCTGCATTCCATTGTGGGATCCCGTAATATCCTAAGTGATTTTTTTCTTTAATTTGTATATGTTAAGGTTCACGAAAAGCAGTTTTTTGTGCTGTAAGGTTCTACTCTCCGCTCAAGGACTCTGGTGTAACTCCCCACCCGTTAAGTATGGACTCCATATAGTGACTTCCTTTCCAAATAATACAGTATGAAAAGAGTGGGGCAGAGGGTAACTTTACAACGGAGAAAGCTGACAGACATTACCTCAGCCAGGTGATCAAGGTTAACGTCACCAGTGATGTTGCATTGATAGCAAGTACCTTTGACGTGATGTGGTGAGGATGACACTTTACCTTTGTGATCTCCTCCAAACCCATAACCCCAGTCTAATCATAAGGAAAACACTCTAGAAACCCCAATTGAGAGATATTTTACAAAATACCTGACCAAACTTGCTCAGAACTGTCACCGTCATCAAAACTAAGGAAAGTCTGAGAAATTGCCACAATCTAGACAAACTTAAGGAGACAAGATAACTCTATTTATTTATTTGTCTATGTATGTATGTATGTATGTATGTATTTTTGAGACAGAACCTCAATTTATCACCCCGGCTGGAGTGCAGTGGCACAATCTCTGCTCACTGCAACCTCCACCTCCCTAGTTCCGACGATTCTCCCACCTCAGCCTCCTGTGAGTAGCTGGGATTACAGGCGCGCACCACAATGCTCACTAATTTTTGTATTTTTAGTATAGAATGGGTTTCGCTATGTTGACCAGGCTGGTCTCAAGCTCCTGACCTCAGGTGATCGGGCTGCCTCAGCCTCCCAAAGTGCTGGGATTACAGGCATGAGCCATCACGCCCGGCCAGATAACTCAATTTAATGTGATATTCTGGACAGGTTCCTGGAACAGAAAAGGGACATGAGGTAAAAACTATGGTTATCTGGCCAGGCGAGGTGGCTCACACCTGTAATCCCAGCACTTTGGGAGGCTGAGGCAGGTGGATCACCTGAGGTCAGGAGTTTGAGACCAGCCTGGCCAACATGATGAAACCCCATTTCTACTAAAAAATACGAAAATTAGCCCAGCATGGTGGTGGGCACCTATAATTCAGCTATTTGGGAGGCTGAGGCAGGAGAATTGCTTGAACCCGGGAGATAGAGGTTGCAATAAGCTGAGATTGTACCATCGCACTCCAGCCTGGGTGACAGAGTGAGACTCCATCTCAAAAACAAAACAAAACAAAAACAAAAAACTATGGGTATCTGAATACAGTATGGACTTTGGTTATTAATGTATCAATATTGGCTCATTGGTTTTGACAAATGTACCATACTAATGTTAACAATAGGAAAAATTGGGTGAGGGGTGCATGATACTTATCTTACTTTTCTGTAAAGTTAAAAGTTTATTTTAAAAAATAAAGCAGAAAAAAATAGAGCTGATGCCTTAAGGAGAATGGCATTTGCAAATCTGAGGAAAAAAGGAGACTTAGGGATTTTGCTTGATTTGAGTTATAAAACATATTTTTCCTACTAGGAAATCTTCTAGGGTGTTTGATTTTTTTTTTTAATTTAAAACTGGGGCACTGCCTATGAATCTAGCAAGTAGAAATGACCCAGAGGAGCTCATCTCTAAAGATGCATTTAGATTTTTCTTGCATCAAGAATGAGCTGATGACCCAAAAACCTTATTTTAAATGTTAATGAGCATCTATTTAACTGAAAATTGCTATATTCTGAAATCCTGTCTGGGTCTCATACTGAGTAACTGGGATATAAGCTCATCTATTTTTCTTTTGAATTATTCCTTTAAAACATATCAGACTATGTCATTGGAAGAGAAAAAGTGTGGATAACTCAACCCAATTGTCTGCTCAAAACCTACACAGAAGGGTTTTTTTTAATTGTGCTAAAGTATGTATAACATAAAATTTGCTATTTTAACCATTTTCAAGTGCACAATTCAGTGGCATTAAGTACATTCACAATGTTGTACAACCATCATAACTATTTTCAAAACTTTTCTATCAGAACAGAAACTCTATCCAGGATATTCACATTTTGTATAGCCAGTGGTGGACACTGAAGCTGTTTCCACCTTTTGAATATCCTACACAGTAGGTTTTCTAAGTGCGTTTTCTTAAAAAGAAAAAAAAAAAAAAAAGAAAGGCTGAAAGCAGTGCCTCATGCCTATGATCCCTGCACTTTGGGAGGCTGAGGCAGGCAGATCACTTGAGCCCACTAGTTTCAGACCAGCCTGGGCAATATAGTGAGACTCTTGTCTCTACAAAACAAACAAACAAACAAAAAAACAAACAAAAAAAAACGTTCATTAACCCAGCATGGTGGTACGTGCCTATGCTTCCAGCTACTCAGGAAGCTGAGGTGGGAAGATCACTTGAGCCCAGGAGGCAGAGGTTGCAGGGAACCAAAATCACGCCACTGTACTCCAGCCTGGGCAATAGAGTGAAAATGTTGAACTTCCCTGGAACACAAAACTTGGCTTAATTGTTGTTAGCATCAGTGCCTACTATTTGGTGTCAAATGGTAAGTAAATACGCTGGAAATGAATCCATAAATTTTGTGGTTCTAGAGGCCTTGGACCAAAGTCATAGCTGAACAGGTAACAAATCTTTCAGAATCTTGCTTCTATTGTTTGCTCATTTATGCTTATTTTTGTTTTCGCACAACACTTTTGTGTTTTTGTTATGCCTTCATGTTCCCTTTTCTTTACCCCTGTTGCAGTGACTCTACTATTGTTGACTATTAACTAGTATACCAACTATCATGGTTTATAAAAATCAAGTTCTGCTACTGGCACAATTAACCAGGCTCTATATATGATAGGAACACGAGCTTGAGGAGTTGCAATTGGTGGAATTTGCTTGGGGAATTTGCCTGCCCCAAATGAAGCTCCTGTTTTCCCTTAACCTAGCTTCTCAAGATTCTCTCCCTTAGTTGAAGATATTACCAGTTACCTAATCATCCAAGAAAGACCTCAAAGAATTACTCTTGACTCCTTCCTCCTTCTTATTCCCTATTATAAATCCCACATAGTTTGCCTTGTGTAAATATTTTTCAAATTACCCACCCCCCCATTCCCTTTCCTGCCTCCACAGCTGTGATGGGATCCCTCAACATTCTTTGCAATACTTCCTGTAGATTTAGACAAGAAGGACCCTGCCCCTGGGTGCGGGGCTATAGAGGGAACGGCATTTCATAAAACACTTGCACACACACAAAAAATAGTTGAAGAACACATGGTTCCTCTGTCATTCAGGACCTGATGCTCAGCATTGGAAAAGTCAACTCATCCCAAACATCCACTCTCATGACCAACAGTATTCAAGCCCCAGGGAAACAC